GACTACCATCTTGCTCTGAACACAATGCCCATTCATCGTGACCGTATCAGGATGGAAAGATAACTTGTGTACATTCATGATGAGGGTGTGTTGTGTGAAGGGGAAGACGGTTATAGGACTTTTCAAAACGCATCTGATTCCCCCCACCGACTCTGGAATACAAAAACTCGTCCTTATGGGCCTGGCTCCCTACGTAGCATTGTGTGTTCGTGTTCGGAGGCGAAGACGAACATGTTCACGCAAACTCGAACGAGCGCCCAAAACCCTCCGAACGCAAACATAAAAAACTGAAAGAAGTGACTAAAAAAAAAAAAATCTCAGGAAAATCTGAAAAAAAAAAAAGTAAAATAACAATACAAGCAACTTTTGCCTTGGAGGCATGTTCAAATTCTTAGCCAAGTGGGAGGTGAAAATAAAAAAACTGAAAACAAAAATTATTATTATTATTATTATTTTACGAAAAAAAAGTGTTTGCCTGAACACGTTCACGAGCCGTTCTCACGAACGCGCAAAAAACACGTTCGCACGAACGCAGAGGGGCGCGAACACGTTCGCCGTGCTATGCAGCTGGCTCCATGTCCCTTCTGGAAACCCTTTTTTCTTTCATTATTCTTTTTTTTTTTTTTTTTTTTTTTTTGTAAATACGAAGGCCTTCTTGAGATATCGTCGTGTCCCAACCGACCGACCCCCCAGGTATTTTACTGATCTGATTTCCAGCGGGATTTGAGCTCAGGTCTGTACTTCAATAGTTCATGGGTGTGCTTCAACCTTTGTTTGATATTATGATATCATGATATGTTAATTTCGGAAGTTTCATTTTATTTTATTTTATTTTTTAAGGGAAAAAAAGAATGTGGGAGCAAAAGAAACTAAGTAGCAATGCAATTTAAAGTTTAGACAAACTACCTCCGAGCCTGTTTTTGCCGAGCCTGATTTTCACTGCGCACCGAGTTTTGCCGAGCCGGGGCAGCTTCATAGGAGAAGGATCAAAGAAAAAAAAGAAAGAAGAAAAACAAAAACAACAAACCCCCCGAGTGCCTCGATAACCACCAGATACACTCTACGAGCTGCTCGTGTGACTGTGCCCTCAGCGAGGGTGTGTACGGACGAAGAACCCAAAAAAAAAAGAGAAGAAAGAAAGCTCCCTTATGCTGTGATTGAGGGCGGGTACAGGATGCTACAGCGTCGAGACAGTTACGAGCCACGCGTGAAATTCGCCTTTCCTGGCTGGCAGGGCACTACAACGACACGGGAACACAATCAAAACAAAACAAAAAAGCAAACCCCTTCCCCACATAGTGGCCAGATACGTCCCTCAAAGCACTGCTGCAACTTCCACCCTCGTGGGGGCGTTCCCCGACATCCCTGGATTTGAAACTCTGTTTTGTTTCCTTTTTTTTCTTCTTCTTTTTTTTCTTTTTTTTTCTGTCGGCCTCCAACCCTGTCCCGAGCCCCGTGTTTTAAGGAGTAGGCTACTACTTGATGGACTTTGCGTTTGCCTGTGAAAGGTAGTGGTGGTTTAACAAAGGCAAACTTTCGGGATATCCGCTAAAATTTTAATTTTTAATTTTAATTTTTGAACGACCTGTGGCTGAAGGTCATCTCGAAATCCGTAGTGGGGTTCAAATGAAAGAAAAAGTCAGAAAAAAAAAAAAAGAAAAGAAGGAAAAAGTCAGAGACTTGACAGAAAGGGAAAATGTGGGGCGACCTTAGGAAGGGTATAGTAACCGGGACAAGTCGATACCTTGAGGCACTGATGTCATGCACATGCCGCCATAGCTGGGCGCCATAGCTGAGCTCAATGTAGCTGGTTTGATGCCAAGCCGACCGTCGTCAACCGAATAGAACGCCCGGTACATTATGGGTGTATTTGGTGCAGTGTTCAGCCTAAGTACGGGGATAATGAGCGGCCGTTAGGGTATAGCAATGATGCGAGCAGCGAAGTGGCGTCTCCCTCCTCCGCAGACATCCAGCAATCGCCCTCTTCCTCCAGCAGTCAGAGCCTTTATCCCTCTTTATGCTACCGTCGTGACCCAAATAAAATGTCCGCTCATTCTAGCGGTATTTGGGGCAACTTTCAGTCCAGGTATAGCGATGGTGACCGGGGTTCTAGTCAAGCGAAGACGGCAGCTCCTACCAGCGCTGCTCTCATGATGAGCATGCGGAGGACAAGTACAAATCACAATTGCTTTGGATGAACAATGAAGCAATTGTCGGAGAAAGAGTCGTGACTGTATCGGGACGGAAAGACATCGTGTACATTCTTTGACGGAGAAAGAGTATGCACTGCTGTCCGTCTAGTACCTTAGTACCTGCTTGGCGCATTTCGTTGTTATGTAGCTATGCAATGACGTTCTGGGAAATCACTTTTTGGCCTCGCTATTGTGGTGCTGGGTGTGTGTGTAACAGGTGGAGTTTGCGAGTCCGAAGCTGATGGATAATTCCTATTGGGCAAAGGTAAGGATCGGATCGACCAACGAATGAGAGCTTTTAGATGTCATCTTGGAACTGACCTTTTGGCCCTAGGTATATTATTTAGAGTTGTTTTCACTTGTCTGATTCCATTTGGATTCAAACTCAGGTCGTTATGTTAACAGTTCATGGTGAGCCTTTCCTTTCGACCCCTCCACTGTTTCCCCGCACCAAAAGACAACCGTGAAACCTCCAACCTCCCCACTTCCCAGAAAACCCCAACCCCCCTGACTCTCAATCGCCACCCTCACGCCCAACCCATGTTCCCTGCGACTTGCCCACGTTACTCTCTGGGGCCCCCTGATTCCCCGTCCCCCACTTGAGCTGTGTGAAACTTGCCTCTTGTTTGTTTGGTCTTAAAAAAAAAAAAAAAAAAAAAAAAAAAAAAAAAAAGAAAAAAAAAAAAAAAAAAAAAAAAAAAAATTTAGTAGTATGTAAAATGTATTTAATAATGATATGATTATGAAGGCTACCAGAGTGGCCGAAGGCGCACTTGCCCAGCCTCCCCCCCCCCCCACAAAAAAAAAAAAACAATCATTTTTTCAATTTGAATTTTTATTTTTTTATTTGGTGATGCAAGGAATATGAGTGTGAACGATATACAGAAAAACCAAGTTGTGAAATCACACAGATGTCCAGGTAGTCGTGTCCAAGCAGAGAGTACAAATGCACCGAGAAACCATCCATATAGAGCAATACACTGAAGTTATGAGCCAATGTTCGAGCCGGTAGGCCACACCAACACAGTATCCAAAGCCGCTCCTCTCTGTCTGGCGCCCAGCGCCCAGCCTACTCCACCTGACTATCCTACCTACATCAGCATTCTTGCAACAGGCTCACTTCGACGCTAGAAGACCAATGTACATGATGGCAACACCATAGCCGACCTCTCTTCATGCACCAGGTACGTATCTCGTCACCCTCAATCAGACCTTGATACGTTGCCCACACTCGCCTCCTTCCCTGAGGACCACCAGGTCGCCCTCCTACCCCCTGGCGCCCAGCAGCCCGGCTATGGCTGCCTGCGCCCCGCTGCCCTGCAGCGCCCCACTTCACCTCTACGCGCCCCGTCAGCGCCCTTCCTGGCCTAGGCTGCCTCGCTTCTTTTATGGAAGTGGCAGGCTCCTGGATGCTGCGTGTGGCCTGGCTGGAAGTTTCCAGTAGCTTCCGGTTGGGCCTCAGTCCCTGCGCCCAGGCCCGAGTCTCCGGACTTGGCCCAACTGTAGTCTCGGGCCCAACCGGAAGCTACTGGAAGCTTCCAGCCAGGCCACACACACCATCCAGGGACTGAGGCCAACTGTAGTCCTGGGCCCCATTTACAGTTGAGGGCCTGGGGCCCATTTACAGTTGGGCACGGCCTGAGTCTCCGCGCGCAGGGACTGAGGCCCAACCATAGAGGCCTCAGTCCCTGCACGCAGAGGCCCCATTTACAGTTGGGCACGGTGTGGGGAAACCCGGGGAGGGGCGCCTACCGTTCGTCAAAGCCATGGGCCACRRCGCCTGTCACTTCGCCGCGCCCGCTTCCGAGGTCCTCAACGATCGGCAGGGGATTAATGTTGAGGGGCGCAGTATCATGCACCCTGTTTCTGCGGGTTCACACGGAAGTAGAATTCATCAGTCAACCGGTAATTTCACAAGYTTAACAGACTGCTCGTAATTCAGCACAGTTTCAGCTTCAATGGAGAAGTCTGGGAAACGGACTGACTCACATAGACTGACTCACACAGACTGTCTCGCATAGTATCCTCCACACACATACAATCCTGAGATGGTGGGGCCTGAGCCATACATAGAAGGCGGTCAGCCCCGTTCACACATACACATGAATAGGGGAGGAGAGTCGAAGAGGTGGGGGGGGGTAGATAACACCGAAAGTCACCGAGATAGGATCGGATAGATCGCCGATATAGTAGTCCAAAATGTCCTCAAACCAGATCAAAATGTCGAGGACCATAAGTCACCAATGTCGGTGATACAGAGTCCAAATGTAATCGGTGTCTGAACGGTTGACGTCAAGTATCAGCCCCAACAATCTCCAAGCCTCCTATCCGGTAAGTACCACAGTCTCATACCACCGAAGTCCAACTCTGATCTCCGTCCAACTAGTTGCTGTGGCTTTGCAGGTTGGCAGAATATGGGCAGTGGGAGTTCCCGTTAATCCATTCATACGCATCACTATTTAGATGACAGACATTTGGCTACCTTGAGAGAGTCATAGTTACTCCAGCCATTTACCCTCGCTCAGTTGAATCTCTTCGCTTTATCCATCAGAGCACTAGGCAGAAATCCCATTGTGTCCGCTCCC